ATTTCCTTTTCAAGTTAAAGTGACCAGAATCATGTATCATGATTTGAGGACAATTCAGCGAAACGTACTCGAAACATTTTACGAATTGAGAACACTCAGATATTTATGGACAACATTCATATATGTGTGCAACAAAGAATTAAAAAAAAAATTGATAGCTATAACATTAGGTTCAGAATCATCAAACTTGATTTCATCAAGCAATTCTGAAATATGTAATATTCCGCATTTGAACCAGAGCCGGATTATACCTTTCGTAGGCCCTAGGCATAGCCGTTTTTGGGCCCTCCCCTCCTTCCCCCACTCCTCCCCTCTTTTCAAAATATATGCTAAAATTTTCTTGCATATTTTTTTTTACATTTTTATTAATATTCGACATATTATTAATATTTGACATTTGATTAATATTCGACATTTTTATAAAATTTTACAGCATAATACAAGATTTCGTTGAATCCAAAAATCGCAAAAAAGTAATATATTAGATCATAAGATTCTGCAAAATAATTTATTACAGAAAAATATTATATTTTTATTTGTATCTTCATAATTTTGTGCAAAATACACTTGTTGTTTTTAAAGCTAAATTATTTTTGTCAACAAATTTTTTTCTCCCAAGTTTTTCGTAGGCCCCTGAATTTCGTAGGCCCTAGGCACGTGCCTAGTGTGCCTATAGGTTAATCCGGCCCTGATTTGAACACATGTAAAATGAATGATTACATGATTATTAAAATTTGTTTATTTTTTGATGAAATTATTTTAAAACGAGTATGATGTTTTCATCTGTTAATTTTTTTTTTTTTTTGGTAAGAAATAACTTTCTTGTTGTTTGGAAACATGCGCATTACTCATTTTTTTCGTTTAAACATGATACGTTATGGGGAAATTTGAGAACGCATGTTAAAAATTGAGGACATTTTCTGTCTTCAAAGAGTTTGAGAGTTTTGGAGGACAATCAATGAAATTCGAGTACTGTCCTTAAGATTTGAGGACGTCTGGTCATCTTAACTAAGATGCCGATTTCTATTTGTTCCGTAGGGAAAGCATAATGAAAAATTGATAAGGTTGAATATCAAAGAGCCAGTTAAAAAATTACGTAATCATGATTTGAACACTTTAAATCCTTCCAATTATTGTATTTTTTTCATGACCATGTTAATGTTTTTTTGGGTATGGTTATGTTTTTTCTATTTTATTTCATTTTAAAGGTTAAAGCAAAATTGTATTTTTCCAACACATGGGGATATGCACGATGTGATGATGCATGCAAAATTGCATTTAATATATCAGCCTATTTAAATTTATATGAATAAAAAATATTAAAAGTGAACTCACCAAACTGTTATAACAATATGCCTTTAATTTTAGAAGTTTAGTTCTTATTTTAATAAATGATTACTGATCAAAATAATTTATGTTCGCTACTAGATCTTAATAAAAATTTCGTGTGAAAAATGTTTTATGCTAAAAAACAACAATTATTGTAAAACAATCATCGGGGTTGGTGAGCAGCAGGGAGCAGGGGACTTAGTTATTAATAATCAGGGGTCTGTTTAGAAGAAATTTGGGTCCGTTAACGGACCCTTCACAAAATATCTTTCCATAAAAACGGACCCTTCACAAAATATTTTAACTTAAAAACGGACCCTTCACAAAACGATTTTTCTTTTAATCGGACCCTTCACAAATTTGTTTATTTTAATTATTATTTTGTCAATCGAATAAACCCTTTCCAGGGCAGAAAACAAGAAAGATGGATGTAAACGAATTAAGTTTTGTCTTCGGCAGACGATTTTTCCATTATTCCTCCTAAATGAATATTCTGCGTTCAGCAGTATAGGCTAAATACCAAATATTTGTATGTTGCATCTCTAATTTAGAAGCAGCAATTGTTGTTTATTTTTTAAAATTTAATTTTTTTAATTATAATTTTACAGTGTTGAGCATTATCATGTATGTCTTTACAATTTAAAAACTCCTTGAGAAAGTTTTTTTTCGCAATAACGGAACCTATTTGCACAAATTCATAAAAGCGGACCCTGATTGAAAAAATGAGAGTAATTTTTTCACAATTTCACGAAAAACGGACCTTTCACAAAATGTCTGGACAAACCCCTGATAATTGCTTATCAGGATAATCAATATACAGATATAACTATAGCAAAAATTATTCGATACAGGAAAAGTTCAAAAAAAGTAACGAAACGTTGAATTGATCAGTTAGAATTTGAAAAATTAATTAAATTTTTTCCCATATTTTATAACAAGTTTTTTCTCTCCCCATTATGGAAAGCATTTGAACCATTTCCCTGTCTGCTATGACCCTTCAGGGCCTTGCAGTCAGAAAATTCTTAGAAGTCCTGATGATGTTCAAAATATTTTTCTAAATAATTATTGATATTGTTCGTTTTTTAACTTAATTTTAGTATTAAAAAGTCGAAAACATTATTTCCTATCTTATTATACAGACCAAACTGAAAAGAAGGCAGTATATTGTTTCTGAATTTCAAGGGGTTCGACAAAAAAAAAAACTTATGAATCAAAATTATTGCGTTAGAAAATACGATGATTGTTTAACTGGGGCCCTGACATGCAAAATTCTACACGTCTACTACTAATAACCACATACTAATGGCTTAATAATTGTATAAAAAGTTAAGCAACAGTATAAAAATTAAGTGAGAAAATTAGAAATTTTTTTTAAATTTTCAGTATTTGGGAATAAAATTCTAAAAAGGAAAAAAAATAAATAAAATAATTTATTTTATTTATTTTTATTGTTAATATTAATACAACAATATTAAGGTTTTCTGAATACATTAAAGCGAGACATATTTAATTTTTTTTTCCTAAAGAAAAGGTCAAGGAAAATTGCTGAAATGAAAATAAAATTTTTTTAAGCAAAATTTTGTTTAGGAAAAAAATATCTGAAATTAAATATTTTTAGAAGTAATCTAACAATATTTTTAGAAGTGATCTAGAGTACAAGAAAATATAATTTTTTTTAGTTTAAGTTTCTTTTTAAAAAAACACAAATGCAATAAGTAATACTAATAAAATAAATAAAATGGAAAAAATAAGATAAATAATAATAAAATAAATAAAATAAAATAATAAAATAAAATGCAATAAAGAATACTGCAATAATCTTTTACAGTTGCATATTTATTGCACAAATTTGGAATCAACATTGCTTTCAAGTGTTCCTTAAAAATACAGTCTTCAGTCCAGGAATAAGTTAGATTTTTTTCATAATTAGTGAATAACTAGTATATTATACGTGGAAAAATGTTTTGTTATTAGCATTGTTTACGGCCATTTAATAATGATATTGTACACTCTGAAGTATTTTTAGCGATTATAACATAAAATTTACAGTAAATGATAGAAAAGTTATGAAATAACCATTTGGCTTGATTTATCAAATGAAACTAAGATACCTAAAAATGTTAGAAAACAATTTTTTGAAATTTCTCGAATTCATCCTTAAAAAGTATGGCAAACAAAAATCAAAGAAATATTTTGAAATTAACTTTATGAATAATCAACCATAAGTTTTTCGTCGTATGTATTCTATGTCAGGGAAAAAAGTTTCATATTCTTTTTCATTTTTGGTCACCGGGATTGTTAAAAGTAAAACCATATACCAGACAGGTGATTCTTAACCCTTTTGCGCAGGTGGGGCACCAGTATTCTTTTTATATATTTTTTTCTGATGCTCTAATTACAAGTAAAATTATATTTTGGTAATTTTTAATTATAAGAAACAGACTGATAGCTACTTTCAAATTTGTTAGATTTTATCGGAATTATATTTATACCAAAGCATAAAATCCCCCCAAAAAAAAGCACGTAGTATAAAAAAAAATTTTCCCAATCATATTCAAAAATTTATCATTAATTGATTTTGTAAATTAATGAAATTTCAATAATGAATTACTGTTTCGATTAAATCTAATTAATTGCAAATAACGGAAGATTTGAAAATTATTATTTGGAAGTGAGCCTTATTTCGAAGATTTTTATCTTAAGCGCAGAAAGAGGCATCGATGTTCCTTGTTGTATTTCATAACCATAAATCGTAAGGTACTAAAGATAATATTTTTCACTTATTTTGACCTAAATTTTTATAAAATAATGAAAAAAGTCTGAATGATATATTTAATGAAAATTCTGTGTCATATGGCTAAAGTTTAACTTCGTATTCTTGTAGCATTTAACTCAACTCGGATGACAAACAAACATCTAACTCTACGCACTGAGCAAATTCGCCTTTATAGACAATTGTTTTAAGTAAAACTAGCATTACCATAAAAAGTAAAACAGCTAAATCCTCTCCCGGTTACCTCGGCGAGAGTGGAATTGTAAACTACGGATCTGTTTACCACAATTTTTGTAAGCATTGTGAACAATATTTAAATGAGCTAGACAACATTGAGATTCGAACCTAGGTCACTTTCCTCAGAAGCGAATGGCGCTCTGTTTCCAAAACTTTCCCGTGAAAAATATCATAATAAAATAAATCTAATCCTCAATTATCAAAAAAGAAGAAACAGTTAAGATATATATAGATAAATATTTAATTCATGCATAGATAAAGACAGCTATCACCGGAGCTGTAATTTAAAAATTGCCATAAAATTTTTTTTTCTTCATTAATTACAACAGGAGAAAAAAAATTATTCCATGTTTGCATAGAAAAATCAATCAAATCATTATGGAATCAGAAATGATTGCTTTAAAGGGTGCATTATACAGCACATTATACACGCTTGCATTATACAGAAACTCTCCCTTTACAAGTGTAATAAGTTAAGTAAAAATTTGCATGGAAAGTTACAAAGACAAAATACAATATTTTCAGAAGTAAGAGAATGTTCTTTTAGTTTGCATTATCCACAAAAACTTATATGCACACATTATTTGCTTTTATCTGTCAATAAAAGTTTAAAGTATGTAAAAAAAAAGGTATCAAAAGATGCAATTACAAAATTATTTACCTTTAATCAATTCTACTTCTTCATAGAACATCAAACTTAAGAAGTAATTATTCCAAATTTTCCACCAAGCGGCAACACACAACACGTCTCCGAATGCACTTCAAGGTCTCCAACAATCCACATAGTATTCCATATCAATCCGAAACCCCATTCTTAATTGATAAAAATGATGAAATTAAATCTGGAGAGGGCGTGATACCCTTCGAACAGAAGAGCGAGAGAAAGAAGAAGGGGAATAAAAAAAAGAGCCGGTGCAAACAGACACTTGCAAAAAAGGCGCTGACAGACAGGATGCTAGAGCAGGATAAGCCCTGTGTATGGAAGAACGCAAATGAAGATGAAAAAGACGAGTTTCCGCTTTTGCAAATGCTCAACTCCTTTTTTTTTTCTTCTTTCGCTACTCGATTTCCGCGCTGGAACTCATGCTGGTTTGTAATTCGAAAAGTTATGCCACTTCCTCTTTTGTAGTTGTGTGTGTGATAAATATGTTGTGGTTCAGCTCTGCGATGGGGAGATTATGTTATCTTGAGCATTAGTCATAATATTCGTCGATACATATTTGGGTTAAAGTCGGGTTATTTTCGAGTTAGGGGTGTAATGGAATTATCTCAATAACGCGCTTATTGTTTACAGATCGAGTTTTACCTGATAAAGATTTTTTGTTTTTGTTCTTAGGTGTTTACTTTTCTATTCAATTTCATTGCCGCAATTTCCCCACATATTATCAGAAAAATTTTTTTACCACATTTTTCCGTTGACAAGTTAATTTTTTATGACATTTGCTTGTTTGTTTGTGATATTTAAAAGTATTTTTCGTTGTCTTTCTATTTATAGTATAAGCTAGGGGTGCACAACCTGCGTTCTTCGAATGGTTTATGTGCAGCTCCCAGCTTCATGTAAATAATTTTAAAAGACTGCATAAGTTGCATAAGGAAAATTCGTTATTTGTATTGCCCCTATTAAAAATTGTGTGTTATATTTAATTGGTATATGAAAGCGAAATGTTTTGCCGTCCTCGGTTCTTGAATCATTTTTTTTTTTCGTGTTGCCCTCTTACAAAATAGGTTGTGTAACCGAGATGATCTCGAGCTCACTATTGAAAGGTCCTTGCCCGATTAAATATTTAACGTAATACGCGTAAAAATCTTAATTTTATTTTATTTGCAATTTATGGTGAAATGGCTTGGTAAATACCAGAAGAGGTACACATCTGGAAATGTAAAAAAATAGCTGCTACCGAAAGCATTTGCGACTTATATCCAAGTGTATTAGATCAGCGGTTCCAAAATGGTACTCCGCGAAACTCTAGGGTTCCCTGTTAAAGTTAAAATGGTTCTGCGAGTTAGTACATTTTGTAACCAGTCACGAGGTTTTGAAACCTCTGTTTATATTTATAACAAGCCTATAATTCCTAATTTATTTAATCTTTCGGTTGCCATAATGAAATCATTTCAAGAGTAATACTAATTAAACAGAGCAATTTCTTAAAAGAAAATATAATATTACTAATAACAATATATTGAAAAAATTATGAAAAGAGCAAGTATTTTATGAAATTTTGTATTAGAATTTTCCATTACGCTTTTCAAATCAAAGTAAAATAATTTGATTCCTTAATAAAGAAATAACCATTTCAACGCTCATAACAGTTCTTTTAAGTTTTCTTCTTTAAGTAAACCATAATTAGTTCATTCTTATTTTATTCATTTTCTACTTATGTATGTACCTCAAAAACAAATTCATAATTAGACTGCAGATAGCACAGCGACATCAAATTTTACTGTAGGACATAAATCTCATTTTAAGATTATTAGTCATGAAACGATGAAAAATCTTCATTAATCTAATTAAATATTTCAAAAATAAGTCTATGACGTTTACTATTACCTTAATAAACTTTATAAACTTGGGGTTCCTCAAAAAGTGAGTTGATTACGAAGAGGGGGATGGCTCCCCCTCTTTGGTAGTCCGACGACCTGCACTTTATGGTAGAACAGTTTAACGAGGACTGATCCCGCGCATCCTCGGTTTCTTCGCCGGCTGATCAAAATGGTCAAACACAGAATTATCAGTTTTAAAATAATGTAAAAAAAATCGGCATTAATTTTGTTGCTTATCTGTGAAAACTTGAACCTGAACTGAACCTGAAATCTTAAACTATAACCCGAAAATTATTTCAGCTTACGAGCCCATGCCGGGTCAGGTTTCGTGGTACGGATCTCTGTCTCGGGCTGAGCTTGTCTCAACTCTATTGTGCACTCTCAATATAAGCTGTACAAGTTAGTCAATCAATATTGATTGTCAATCACTATATAAAATCAATGTTTGGCCAATGATGGTATATACATAATTATCATAGTTCTAAGAAATAAATGTTCACCCTCTTTTCTTAGTTAATCGGTATATAAATTTATCAATGAATTTTATTTGCTTCTCTTAGATTGTGGACTCATTGATAACAGGTCCGTTAAACATGCGGCTCGCCGACTATACAAAGCAAAGTATCGTAAAACATTGTTTTAATCATCAATTTAGTTGTCAGTATTTTCCAGCAAATTAATCAATAAATAAATATTATTATCTTTAAAACGAATAAGTAATAACAGTGGGAATCTATCCTTTCTTTATTCTTTCTTTCTTAACGTAGAATTCGACTGGAATCTTAAAATAATGATTAAAGTTATAGTCTGCTTCGATAAAATTTATAAATATTACTAGCTTTCACAACAGTTTTCGCTGAAATCTTCAAAATAATTTTTTGTTCACTAAAATACCTTTACAATAACTTGTCTTCATATTTTAAATATTCAAAAATGCTCTTTATTGTTTTTATTATCTGACTAAACTTGAACGGAGTTTTAGTCTTCAGAATGTGCACATTTAAGTCAGCAAACTGAAATGCTTTCCGAATATACTTGGAACACCTTTCATTTTACAGACAAATAAATTGTTTATGATTAATTAAAGGACGACTTTTATGTGATTAACCTCAAAAATGCTTTTTCAGATTTTCTTAGTATATTTATTAGTTATAACATCATTTATTAGTTTATTGGTAACCAATTTTGAAATTTGGTGAAAAGAGTGTTCCGTTTTATTGGCAAAGCACTTCAAATCATACAACTCTATAACCTTCCGTCGGCAGTCCGTTGAAATCATCGGCCATTTTTGAAAGCTCGATCACGTCAGGGTTATATATTTGCGTTAGAACACGTAATTCGTAACTTATGGCCTAATTTGTTCAATTTCATTAATGTTGCAAGATAACATGACGTAATTTTTAGGAAATTTTAAAAAATTTTATAACTTTTTTGCTCAGTAAATATTTTTAAGATCTATATTTTATTAAAGAATTAAGATCAAAATTTCAAGTATTGGTAAGTAAAATCAGATAAATAAAATGAAAAAAAAAAAATACGAAATAGATTAACATAAGGTCAGAAGTAATAAAGCTAGGATA